CCCGATGGCAAACACCGGGGGGGGGAGGGGGGGGGTCGTTTGAACTGAGACAGTACAGCCAGATGGCAGCCACAAAGAACGCCGGCAACGGCGACGACAACTGGAAAGACTACCGTCAGGGTCAGAATACCATTCAGAACTACTCAGAAGCGAGACACAGGAGAGAAAGGTGGCGGTGTGCGTGTGGAGAGAAGCATGTTTCCTGGAAGGCTCGTCCTTAGTCAAATGGGATATTCCTCGAGCAGCTAGTGGCAAACGAATACTTGGCCCTTTCCACCAGATGATGGTACCAGATGATGGTACAGAAAGCGCGTGCGTAAAAACAGGTAGGCTCACACGATCCAGCGGGGGGAGGGGAGTGGATTCACTCTCTGGTTGTCGGCTACTCGCTGGGTACTTCTGCCACAACGTATACAAGAATGATTCATAAACCAAGTCGCAGATTCGTACGCCAAGGCAAGGCCTGCATGGAATGTAGGGGCTCTCAAAACAATAGCCATAGATTTACACCTCGAACCCACTCCTCCTCGTCGTAGATTCCGTAGATTGCTCCGTACCTAAGACGCCCGTCGCCGTCTGTGCCGCCCCGCGTGACGTCATCTGGGACCACAAGGACTCGAGGAGTCTCCGAACCTTGCTCTCGCTGTTGCTCTAGTGTTCGATGATGCCGTGTTGGCAGACCCTTGCTGTTGATGTCCTCTAGTGTGTTGNAGTGTGTTGTTCGGGGGGGGGGGCGACAGATGTAGATAACGGGGAAGGGGGGGAAGGGGAGCGTTCTGGTTCGTTGACTGCGAACGCCTAGCTTCGCCGGTGGAATCTTGCATTTCTTTATTCCAATGGGCACCAGCGCCTCGAAGTCGTTTGGTGCTTGATCGCGCATTTTTCCCTTTACGAGACGGAGCACACTTGCTTTCGGACAACACCCACCCTCGGGGTACGTTTCATGACCAAGTTCTCCATCACCTTACACGCTAGACAGCAGTTCGCAGGTACAGCAAACAGAGCACGTCTCGCATCCACTCATCGCCCCCATCTCCTCTTTTTATGATACACACCGCTTCTATCTACGAGGGGGGAGCTAGGGCGAGGGTGACTCTGAGGGAGATAGAAACACCAACGGGTAGAAGAGAGATAACAAAAGCGAGAGTGGGCGTCTTGTATTGCATGGCATGGAACCCTGTGTCGGACAGACGCACCCAGCCTCACAGACCGTAGCCTATCTGCCGTGACAGTCGCGGAGAAAGAGGGTCGAGCGCTGCTGTACCTCCCGTCAAGAGAGGTGAGGATCGTCCCCATTGGTGGACGCCCCGTCACTATCCGTGTGTTTCGCGGAGTATACCGTAGGTGTGGACCCACATATCTTGGGGCATGCCAGGGACCTTGCACCTACTGGGTTTTTTTCTCTGGTCCTGACTTAGCTGCGACCTGCTAATCCGAAGCGTAACCCTAACTAAATACCTCCCGAAGGATAAGGAAAGGGGGATGTTTCCAGAGCACCCCAAGTGCCCAAAGCCTCCTCCACCGTCCCTGCATCGGCTTCGTCCACGACAAACACTACGCTGTCCCGACCAAGTAGTGCGCGATATGGTAGCAGCAGCAGCAGCAGCAGCGGCAGCAAGCAGGGGCAGCGGGAGCAGCAGCAGAAAATAAAGCACGACAAGAACAGACCCATGGCGAAGTAGGATACGATAATACAGTTACGACAAGGAAAGACAAGCCAACTTGGAACAGGCCAAATCAAGGCAACACAGAGAAACAAAAGGAGCAAAAGGCCAACGCAAGAGCAGACATGACATAATGTTGAACATATAGGAGTACTTGTGAACACGCCAAGAAAGGGCAAGAAAAGACACGGCATGAAAGCAAAGGAGGTTTGATTAGACAAGAAGACAGCAGTAGGGGAAACACTGAGTCTACGTATTGTAATCTACTGTCTAGTCTACCTGTCCACTACAGAGGAGTGCTGTATTCTAGACTAGATGTTTTGTAATGGGCACAACCAAAAGGGATTCACACCTGTTTTCGCCAGCATCCATCAGGTCCTGCCCCCAGGTATCTCGGATTGTCTGGAAGCGGTCTATCCTGGTCGAGGGGCCAGACACCATGGGCGGACTGGGCATAACCACCACCACGGTCTTGTCTTGCCGATGCCCACGCTGGCGTGAGGAGGGGTGCGTGTTCCCATGGTCGTAGTTCCGATGATGTGCAGTCTCGCCGCTGTTGCTTGTAGTACGTTTTCCGGAGAGGACGGGACCACCACTCGCTGGAGACGCTGATCGCTGGCACAACACAACAAGTACACACAGCATCCAACAGACGCTTACACATAGCCACAGCCATCGAACCCGCTTGCCCATCCTTGAAGCGGGCAAGGCGTCCGAGGGCAATGTGCGTTGATGGATTGATGGGAGTAATGTACAGCAACCGGGAGAGGTGCGCGGAACAAAAGGTACCGGTTCGGGAAATTTCAATTCCTGCCGCAAAGTCGCAAACAATGGCACGCACTGCTGCCGTCTCCACGCCCGCTGCTGTGTACATACTGCTGTAGTTCCTGCTGGTGTCCCTCTCTCCGCCGCCGAAAATAAGTACGGACAGCACATGACCTCCGATGAGAGTCATTCGCATCTTCGGGGAGCGCGTTCCATGGTTGCTAGTCCCAAGCTTCCTCGAGATTCTACCCCAGCACGGCGGCAGCATCAGCTGCAACAGGCCTCCCCCCCCTCGGAAGGCGTGGCACCGACGGCGGGACGGCAACAGCTACTGAAGGCCCGGCAGCTCCTCCTTTCTCGCGACCGTGCCGGCGCTCAGAGGGCCTACACCTTGGCCCTGAACCAAGCGCAATCTTCACAGCAGTTCGACCTGGCCGCGTGCTTCCTGTGTCATCTCCGCCTCGCCCAGCTTTGCTTCTCCCCCGCGGACGGGGGTCGCGGTGCCAGCTGGAGCAGCAACTACAGCTGTCGTGAGCACTCTGTGCATGGGGACTACTTCGTTACGCTTCCCGTATGGCATACTGGCAAAGAACATTTATTGTATAAACGTCCCGTTGTTATTCTTTGCCCCGATTTGTCCACCCCCGTACTACCAACTGATCTATTGAACCGAGCCTAAATACGATGCCTGCCCTCCCCGTCTCCTGCTGCTCGCCGCACGAAGGCGCCCCGAGTGTACACGTATCGGCGCGGGAGCACCTCGAGGCGGCATGGGCACTCCGAGATATAATGTTGCGATACCGCCTCGTGCCACCGTTGGGGGCCCTAGGCGTTTACTTTCGGGCAGTGGGGTTGCAACTGGCAGGCCTTCTCGGCGAAGGGTCACGACGGTGGCGGGGAAACAGGGGCGGCGGCGGCAGCAAAAGCGCCAGCGATGGCAATGCGGAGGCTGTGCTGCGTTCCCTGGAGGAACTGGGGCTGCTAGAGAATGTTTGTGCTGGGGAGGTGCAGGATTCAAGTGCTTGTGATGGAGAGATGGAGGGTTCATGTCGAGGTGGGAACTCACGAGAGGCACCGGCAACAAGAGGGGGCCCAACTCGGCGGTAGTCCCCAGGGAGCCAGGATTGACGTTGATGGGTTGTGTGACGGATGTGGGAAATCGACGAAGCGTGGAGAAGAAGCAGCACCACTACCGCCACCACCATCTAAGGAGACGGGTGACGGACGCGGCGGTGGGTACTGCCCGGACTGCACGGCCGCATACGACAAGGCCGTGGCTCAGGTAGCAATATCTAAAATGTTCAAACGTTGGGTCGGCTTGTCAGCCTACATGAACCCTTTGATTGGTTGGGACAGAGCTGTAGCAGTGTGTGTGTCCGGGCGGTTCATGCCGAGGCTATCATCCCATCAGCTTTCCTAGCGAAACCCTAGTGTGAGCTGTGAGATACCGGCTTGATCGGAATCCAGCAGCCGTTTTAATTGAAGACAAATATTTCTGACAACACCTCTCTCCCCTTCCTCATGACACCCAACTTCTGCTGTCGTGCAACCCCTTGCCCCCTTCCCCTAGGGCCCCAAAAGCGACGGCACCCCGTGCGCAGGTTGCGACGACACGACGCAGCCCGTGGCGATAGAACCTGGCGGAAAATGGTACTGCGAGGCNGAGGAGGAGGAGGAGGGGAAGACGTTATCGATGTCGAGGTGCAAGCGATACTGGTTCTTGCCTAAAAGCCCCACGGGGGCGGTCGCTACTTCATGGTATATCCATACGGGCAGTTCCGCTGCCGCATGGCGCAGAAAAGGTATTGGATGAAGTGCCGCCGACACCGGCATCACTCCCAGCCGCAGCAGCACCAAACGACAGGGCAGCATTTGCCGGAAGACACCCATATATTATCAATTTTGCGGGGAGGGCCTCGGTTTTTGATGCTTTGATCGCTGTCGGAATTCTAGAACGAACGTCTTGACCAACCGGTGTGTCCACAATGTTGGCTTGGGTAGGGGCGGGGGGGTAGTCAAGGATGAGTACGGTCTGTTGACAGGTTCCAAGCTTCACGCTAGGAAAAAGTGGGCAGCGTCGAGAAATACCGGCCTATGGACGCACACACGCTCACGCTCATGTGATACTCCTATGCTCTGACTGAGTTGACTGTTCGCGTGTGTGCGGTGTGTTCGATTCAAGAGAGCGCTCGTGGATGGCGTTGGCCGTACGGCAGACGACCGTTGTGGAGACAGGTTTAGGTACATGGTCGTTTTCGAATGCCAGACTTGAATGGACAGCGTTCAGTTGGATCTACTGTGTGGTCGGGCGTACCGTTAGTTCGTTGAAACCTGAAGTATCGAGTCATAATTGCGATATCAATCAATCCGGGAGTCTTGGCAGCGGAGCACTCCGGCCTATCGACGCACACACGCTCACGCTCATGTGATACTCCTATGCTCTGACTGAGTTGACTGTCCGCGTGTGTGCGGTGTGTTCGATTCAAGAGAGCGCTCGTGGATGGCGTTGGCCGTACGGCAGACGACCGTTGTGGAGACAGGTTTAGGTACATGGTCGTTTTCGAATGCCAGACTTGAATGGACAGCGTTCAGTTGGATCTACTGTGTGGTCGGGCGTACCGTTAGTTCGTTGAAACCTGAAGTATCGAGTCATAATTGCGATATCAATCAATCCGGGAGTCTTGGCAGCGGAGCACTCCGGCCTATCNACGACCGTTGTGGAGACAGGTTTAGGTACATGGTCGTTTTCGAATGCCAGACTTGAATGGACAGCGTTCAGTTGGACCTACTGTGTGGTCGGGCGAACCGTTAGTCCGTTGAAACCTGAAGTATCGAGTCATAATTGCGATATCAATCAATCCGGGAGTCTTGGCAGCGGAGCACTCCCATGCGAAAGCGCCAACCGGGCTGTCGTTCCGGTCTGCTACCAAAATGCAAAGAGGTCAGTTTCGCCGGAATCGGTGCACGTCATCGAATCCGAACAACACGTGTGCGACAACACACAGGAACAAGACACAATCTTCCGAGAAGCGATTGCCGGGTGTTGATGACGGTGGAGTGTTTTTTTTTCCTTGTGCATAAGAGTGTTACCTTTTTTGGGTAGTTGGCCTGTGGCCACGTAAGGCGTCCGCGTCAGTTCGACCGGTGTGGAGGTGAGACGGTATCTGCTGAAACAGTTTTTGGTGTGAATACAGCAACAAACAGTCGTGGATTCGAATCGTCGGTGGCAATACAACAGTACATTCCTAATCACGCCGTTTCGTGAGCGTCAAGCACTACATCAGGCATATCGCGTTGGTTGGCCAATGGAATTAAGATGCCTTGAACCCTGCTTTTGCGAAAGAACCAGGAGCGCATGCACGGAAGGAAGAGAATATATGTTCCTCGGGACCCCTCATCACCGATCCTTGGCAAGCGAGGAGCAACGCACAAGGGGCAATCCCTAGAACACCTACCTACTCTGCTACCTACTCTGCGTGTGATGCCTGAGTGTGCCTCCTCTTCTCCATGCCGACAAGAAACGCCACAGCGCGCTTCTTTCTCACGGGAGGGGATAAGATCACAAGATGGCGGTACTACAGGTCTCATTTTGCACGAACAAATTTGCCATCGAAGCGATGTGTAGAGACCAAACACATGGAGGAGGGTACAAAGCAGTATCCCAAATTCAATTATCGCGCCGTCAAGTTCCCATCACCTGAACTACTTGCCCCCTCTCCACACTCCATCAAAGATGCGCAAGTCGCACGACAGCAAAAAAGCGTGGCACTGCTGGCCGAAAACACAAGCAGCCCTACGCCAGGGGGGACAAGACACCAACGAGACCACAAAACACACGAGATAATACCATTCTTGTTCCTATGTATATTTCTGCAAGCAAAAGAGCATCCCCGGGGTGGCCACTGCCGCTTTGGAAACCCCCGGTTGATGACGGTGGTCGCAGGGTGAAGACACCACCTCGAGGATGGAACAGAACAGGCCAAGAGTTCAAACATGAAACAGCGTAGCCCCGCCAGCGTAACCCCCCCCCCACCAGGGGGAGTACGAGGAACCACGGGCAAACGGCTAAAAACCTCGAGAAAACTCTGCCCCAGCCGCCCTTCCAAGCCTGATGCTCCTTCCCTCCCTCCCCCATCTACTACCGTGAATAGCTACGGCAGTCACAGCTTATTTTCATTGGCATCGCCATCGCTGGAGACGGAAAAAGACCTGCCTGCGCGCCTGAGTCTCCAATACTTGTCGTGCACGAGAATGCACCGCGCCGGCGCGCGCGCCGTGGAGCCAGCAAGATGTTGATTTGGATGTATATGCATACCACGGAGAGAACACATGCCAATTGGTATCGTCACAAAAATATATAAGATCGTACAACGAACGACACAGGAGCAGTAGATAGGACGCACGCCAATTTTTCTACGCACGAGCCCGGCAGGCGGGGGCGGTCTGGCGAGACGACCGGCGCATGCAGCAGCGCGACGCGGAATCCC